CGCTGGTGCCGAGGTGGGTACGGCCGCTTAGCCCGGCGGGCTCGTCCCTTCTCCCTTCGAGCTGCAATGCCTGGGGTCACGTTTTCAGTATTTTTCTTCGCCGCTGCCCAGGCGGGGCTTAGCGCTTTAAGAGACACACCCGATACCAGGAGGCTTGAAAAAATTTAATGAGCCAGTTACACTGAACAGCGAGGACTAGTCTAGAACCTGTTCCCACATCCTACTTAAAATATTTACAATTGTGTTAACTGTATATACATTGTAACCTCTGTCCCTTGTGGTCTACGTATAGGTGAGTTCCTTAGGAATTGTACCTGGAAGGGGAGCAGCGCGGTGCCAGCGCAGCAGCTCTTGCTGGAAAATCCTGCGCACACTGGGTGAGCCACTGACAGCCGCCGAGTCAGAGGCCACGTGTGTGCAGCTCAACGCACAAAGCAAACAGCGTGTTCAGCCACGAAACTTCTCTGCCTTTGAAGTGTTCCGATGTGCAAGGCAGCTGGGTAGGTGTGCTACACTGTGCATTTCACCCTATTTGAGGAAAAAAAAAAAAAAACAACAAACCCCAAACCGTGCACCTCTGTATAGCAGCACAGGGAGTCTGCAATCATGAGACATTGACTTACATTGATCTGCATCTCCGAACATCCCATCACCCAACACTGCTTCTCCACTGAAGGTCTACAAACCCGTATGAAGCAGCAATCCCACTGTGAAGAGCAATTCAGCAAGTAAAGCCTAATTTTATGACACCCTGAAATTACACAACAGAACAGCACCTCTTGGAAAAGTTTCATGGTTCAAGTAAAAGAGACAAAGCAATACAACAAATAAAACTGGATTCATAGCTCTAAGTCCAGTTAGCAGAATGAGATCCTTTTCAGGCATTCCTTTATTTGGGATACCTTTTCTTTTTATTTTCTGAAGCAAAGCTTCTTATCTCTATCAAAGTGGGGCAGTACTACCTTTCAGCAGTATTTTATGCACTTTCTGAACTCCCTTATTTCCCCTTTCTGGACAGAAACCCAAGAAGTTGTCTGAAAAGCATTTCTGCCAAAGAAACTGCAGAGTCAGCCACCAAGCGCAAAACAATTTACATACACTGGATAGGAAAGTCACAGACAAACAGACAAGCAAACAGATAAACCTGAGAATGCAAGTGAAAAATTACTGGGCAAGTATTTAGTGTCAGATCAATCCAATACTTACTCGATGGTTTTACAGGATGAATAGAGAAAAAAGCTAATTAAATTAATCTGATTTACTAGAAAATATTAAGCTTACAGATGATACAATGTCTGCATAATTTTAGAAAAATCATCAATTTCATGGTTTATTTTACAATAATTGGATTAGTCTACAAGTTAAGGCAAACATACTAACGCATTTGCTTTTCTTTTTAAATCATAGTTAAAAAGGTTACACAAAGTTCTCCAAAATTTCTAAGAAATGTTCACAATTGAAAAAAGATTAATTTCTTGATATTGGTACATGGAAAAAAAAACTAAGACAGTGTATACAATGCCATTATAGTAACAATATTGAAATATCTAATGGTAATATTTAGGCCATTTGAACAATGTGCTTCAAATGGTGAACTTCAGAAGTTACTTACAAAGGTATATAAGATTGGTAGCCGTATCATAGTATTCGTAACATGAACATAATTATATTGGCTATTTTCACAAAACCAGAGCATTTGATTTCTGAACAGTGAAAGCATATAATGATTAAATAAACATGAATAGGTATGTATAACAAGTATGCTGTTGCTTCATATAGTCTGGAGCTACTTTCAGGTGTTTGTTTTAATTCTTTTGAAAGAAGGAGCTTGCTTATGTGCACTTTGTCAAATGTTTTCTCCAGGGAACTGTAAATGCCTATTTAAAGTCATGAAAACAAAATCCAGAGGAGGGCAGCCCTTGTCAGTGGGAGGACGGAGCGTAGTTTATGTGTCACCATTTAACACTGCCAGGCAGCTCTGCAGCAGCTGTAAGTTACCCTGTAAAAATAAAGAAAAATATGACCACATTTCCCCACTTTCTTTTACACTTGTGGCAAAAAGATGTTTTTTAAATAGCAATGACACCACTGAAGGAGGACAGGCGTTAAGCTTATGTACAAATATTTACATAAGTAATTTTAATTTTAAAGTTTTTTGAATGTAGGAGCATTGGGTCATGGAACTAAACGGAGCCAACTTGAGATTCAAAAATAAGCATTGAGTACCCTCTCCATGTTTCTTCACCAGTGTCTTACTAAAGATCTAGTCTGGCCACAAACACTGTTTGCTGCAGAGCACTGTCTTAGCAATGAGGTTCAAACTCACAAAGTTTTCATCTTTTATGTAGTATCCCCATTACTCTGTCACGGTATTATTCCCAAAGCAGAGTATTAATGTATTCTACTGAATTAATCAAGAAGTGTTAACCAATTCACAGCACTCAGTACCTCCTTGCTATGGCAGCGATCTAAGCTGGAAGCTCTGTTCAAGGACAGGCCTTGTTTGAAAGACAACAGACCCATTTACATGCTCAGCCAGGTGATTTAGCCATCAAAGTTGAGTTTAGCCATTAGAGCCAGAGCTACAGAAGGGATTATCAGAATGTTAACTAAGCTTTATCTCTAGGGCCAAGTTCTGCCTTTTTCAAACACCCGTAGGTCAGTTTTTAATCTTACTTAAAGCATTCTGACTCTACCATAAAAAATGGCAGGCTGACTCAGATTTCTGAATGAATTTACAGAACTGACAGTTAAAAAGAAACCCTTGTGAATTAAGCAAATGTGATCAACAAGCAAGCCAGGGTTTACTTTCCAGAAAAAAAACAAAACAACAAAACACCCAACCTGGTATTCACACTGTTTTGTGCATTCATTTATGCTTAGATCACTTTAAACTACTGGCTGTTCACTGTTAAACAGCTGTACTAGATTTGTTCCTGAATCTGAAGTCCCTGTGCAAGAAACAATGTTAGGTTGTTGACAGTGTTAGAGTACTTTCCCATCAGGTTCTGATAAAATGCAAGAACAAAACAGTCTGAACGCCTGGTTATAAACATGGGAGAAACTGCTTCCTTCTGAATTTTTTTTTGATCCAAAAAGAAACCTGTAGAGAAAACTTCAAACAGAAGCATGTAGTTAAACAGTATCAGTAGCTGTGATTTGCACGTCCTTGAGAAACAGTCCATACAAGTACTAAAGAATTTGTAGTTCTTACTCTTTCAGTTGAAACCATTTGCAAGAACAATTTTATTTAAATTATAATAAATCAAGGACAATAGAGGCTGTGAACCATTACTCTTTCAAGCTGCAACATCTGACATGCTTAACTTGTATCAGCATAGCTCAAGAAAGTCCTATAAACGCAGATTCAGAAAAGCGTTTCTTGCCAACTCAGACTCCTAAGCTCTAGATATTACAGTTATTGGTAGGACCCTGGTGACGGAAACATCCTTTTCAGGAAAGGAAGAATTACTGACAAAGCATTTAACCAAATCCATTAGCATTGGATTCTGCTTACTCTCTTCTTCCATCAGTTCCAAACAGACATCTGTTGCTAGTAATGCAACAAATTCTTTTTCCACCAAACCCCATAGAGGCAAAAGCGTATATATTAGTATTTGTGGAAAGAAATGTTTAGATTTTTTTACTTACTTGAAGGAAACAGCTATTTTACACAGTTACAATTCAAATGTCAAAAGACTCTAAAACTACAGCCACAGCTATAAATGCTTTAAGTATATGGTTATAACCTTAGCAGTTTCACCAGCTGTCAAACCTCCCTTCTTGAACATGAAGTCCAACACAGGAACATCTCAAAATCCAGCTGTTTAAAATACTGAATAAGTTTAAATGCAGCTTTTGCACTAAATGCCCAAACACTTTATCAGGTCTTACATTAGCTACAGCTGCATGAAGTCACGAAGAAACACAGACCTAGCAGAATGAAGCTAAACACTACCTAGAGGCATAGTCAGACAGAATGGCCATAGAAAAAGAAAGATCAATCTGTTTAGTATAGGTTAGAGCCAAAGCAGAATCTAAAGCTGCACTTTGGCAGCTGTTTTAAGTAAATCTAGGGTACGTGCTGCTGCTAAGGCAGCAGCTCTTTATTCCCAGTCCCTCCCAGTCAAAACAGTGTGTTTTGACACAAGGGATGCTGTGAAAACAAGACTGAAAGTAAAGCTTAGGAAAAAAAAACCCAGAGCAAATTTTAGCTGTATCTTATTACGCAGCTGCACACTATTAGTGCCAACATAAGGGAAAGGAACACAGTCATGCATCATCATCCTTCCAGGCAGTAGTCTGCACTTGCATCAACTTAAAGCAATCTCAACCCAGAGTCTTAATTTTTGCTTTTTCAAAAGTCTTGAGCTGCAACCAGGAAATGCTAAGAGGATATTAGCAGACTGAAACAAGTATTTTATAAGGAAGTAGTAGAAATGTAACTGGTCAGAGAGGGTGCACTTAGTAATTGTATATACAGTGTCCTTGATCTACTAAAAGCTTGATTTCCCTACCCCTATCTTCTAGAGCCACACAGCCAGATATAGCTCAGGAAATGCAAGCTCTGTCTCAGAACCTTCTCTTGATACTTTGGTCATTCTGACTTCTTTGGTGCAGCAGTCTCTGTGTTTGGGATTTTTGTTTTTCTTTCCACACAGAGCAACTACCTTTTAACAGTAAGTCAGGCAGAGCAGCCTTCATCATGGCTGAATTCCTCCGAAGACAGCCTCTCAGGTGAGTTCCAACACCCACTGCCGCACCAGATGTCACCTCCGTGCCTTCTGTGCCCAGCAACTCCAAGTCCAGAAGACACATGGCTAGACCAATTCAGAGACAGATGCATCTGCATGACATCTAGTCTAGAAGTACTCATTGCAGCAAAACCCACACAACAGAGGGCTTGTAGCAGCAAAAGCCTGCAGCACTGTTATCTGTTGCCCCCAGCCCCTGCTCACCCGTTACCTTTTTACTGGAAAGAGCACTTAGAGTGAGTAACAGGTCACCTTGCAAAGTTTGGGAGCACTGTGCTCCGCATGCCATTGACAAGCCAAGCAATTTCCAGTTTGGGGCTGCTAAAACTTCACCTGCCTCCAGCAGCTGCAAACCCATGAAAGACGGGGACTGCTGCAGCATCAAGCACAGTGTTTTGTCCAGAACCTTAAAGCAGGGGCCTTCTGATCCGACTTCATTAATTTACTGCTTACGTGAAAAGGTAGCTTGCTTTCTGCTTCTACCAGCCCTCTTTTGGCTCTACTGCAAGAGGAATTAGGTGTTTACAAACACTCCAGCTTAGCCCAGCCAAAACCAGGGCTACTTAGCCTCCCTGAAATGGAAGTGTGGTTCACAATTTGCATTGCAACGAGTATAAAAATGTCCTCTCCAGGACAAGAAGAAACCTTCGTATTCCCCTAACATTGCTCTTCACACATCAGGGCACAATGCTATCTCAAAAAAAACCCAGGTCTTTTTATATCTTCTTTCTTCCCTTAATGGAACTACCTCAGAAAGTCTCCATCAAACCATTTCATCCTTCAATACTCTGTACAGACTAATAAAAAACTATCTGTAAGACAATCCTCAAATACGCTGGTTACAGCATTAATAATTCTGTAATAATCCAACTCAGAATCTGTAGAAATAAAAGCACAGCAACGAAACCAATCCATCTGTAGTAGCTTGTTTTGAATAAATATGAAGCATAGGCTTTGAAAAAACAGAACTTTCAAACCTACTGAGAAAGAAAATATTCTTTCATTCAACAAGTCTCAACATTTGTTAACATTTGAAGAACTGTCACCCTTAGTCAAAATGACTTTTTATATTGTAAAGCTTTAAATATTCAAAACTGTCTAGTGAATCTTACAGCGCTCCATGACAAAGTAGGTGAAAAGGGTCAGCAAAATAAAAAGTTCACCTTCAAAAACTGGACTACAGTTCAAAGCTTCTATTACAGCCTTATATACTCCTTTTTAGTAAATTTACTAAGATAAGGTAAGTCACAGCCATGAGAGCTTATCTGAAGAACTATGTCTTAAAACACAAGCTGTGATGACAAATGAAGAACTGCTAAAAAAATTCAAGCTCTTCCAGGTAAACTGGGGACACCAAGAAGCACGTATCAAGTAAGCTGAAAGCTACAGAAACCATGCATTTTCCCCCCTGCCTTCCGCAGTTATTAGTTGTCAGAATTCAAGAGAATATTACTACAAGATTTTTCCTTGCACAGAGAATTAATACAAGTGATTCTTTAAGGATACTTCAGAAGACGGAGACTCCAAGGCATGTGGGGACTGCAGCAAGGGTCAGTTACAAGAGATGATGAAGAGCCAATGACTGAGGCAGGACAGAAGCACTGTGAATTCATTCCCTTGTTGAAGCATGATATGGCAAATCATTAAAAACTGTTGCGAGTATGACCGTTAGGACTATATTTCACTAAAACCCGGAGCCAGTACATTCATGACCAAACATGGGGATTTCTGGGAGACTCAGGGCTGGATACAGACTGCTGTTACACACAGAGAAGTAGGAAGGCTGAATAGTGCCAAGTATTACGAGAAGTTTTAATACTTTAAGGGAAGTATAGCTGAATATCTCAATATAGCATGAATATGATATAGCACATTAAAGTAAGCACTGTCCATCTGAAAAAGGAGTTGAGTATTCCAAACCTTACTGATTACCTCACCAGTTAAATATCCCACCAAGCTGAACTTACACCTGCAAAGAGTTAAAAAAAAGAAGTCCCCAAACCCACCCTTTTTACAGTGCATTAGTATGGGTTGGGCAGAATGAC